CAAGCCACAACTGCACTTTTGAACAGATGTCTCCTTATCTATACAATTCCAAATAATGGAAAGAAGGCAGAATCTACCCCATCTCCAAGAAACCAATCTTTGACAGAAACCCAACTAACACCAGGCCCATAAGCCTAATAGAGTATATTAAAAAGCTCTATATCAAACTCCTTACTAACCGTCTAAACAACATCCTATCAAAACACCCAATTCTATCCCCTTTTAACTATGTTGCCCTCCCAGGTGACTCCACCTTTATTCCAATCCACATTCTCAACAACATTATAGAAGATGCTGTCTGCAATAACAATTAACTATAGATACTCTCACAGGATATAAGCAAAGTCTATGACTCAGTTAACTTCAGCCTATTCCAAAAATTCTTATACAGAATCGGTATACCAGAACCACTTACTACAACTCTTACTGATCTCCTCACAGATCAGTCTAATAGAGTTATCACCAACCTCAGTCTAACCAACTCCTACCATATTCAAAACAGTATAAGATCAGGGAGAAACAATTACCCCCCTATTCTGGAGAATCTACTATGACCCACTTATTACAAAAATCTTCACACAGCTACTAGGCTACACCATGCAGACATCTTGGCAAACAAGCCTAACCTCGCCCTCTGCCAAAAGGCTATGCTGCTCTATATCCATCCTTGCATATATGGATGATACTATCTAGATTGCTAATACCAAGGAAGATCTAGAAAGAATTATGCAAACAGCTTTATCATTCTATAACATGGCAAATATCCAAGTCAACCTCTCCAAATTGACCTTTATATCAACTCAGCCTAATGCTGATATTTTCTTTTTGCAAACAAATCTAAAAACAATTCCTCCTAACCAGCCCTTTAAGTTCCTGGGATGCTGGTTTACAGTTAACAATAAACACACTAAACAAATTAAGCTCATTCAAGAGGAAGCCATCAATTTAGCTTACACAATCAACTCCAAAAAGATAATAGACAAACAAATAGCCTACATTATTAATACAGTTATAGTCCCCACAATAGAGTATAGAATCCACAATATAGTCATTCTCCACACCACCTGCACCCAGTTTCTTGATAAATACCTTACAATTGCCAAACACAAATCTCATCTATCCCAGTCTACTCCTAATAGCACAATGCTCTGCCATCAAATCTATAATATTCACAACATCTGGGATATACAGCTTCACACTTGACACTACTACTCATATTAGATTGCAGCAATTACAAAATAACTTATAGTCAACCACCAGCATACTACAACACCCCCAGCCTACTATAGATAGACCCAACAGACATACTACAATATCAAAAATAATTCAGATACTACGGCAAGCAGGTATTAGCCTGACTATAAACCCAAACAGAGCCTGGCCTCAACTAATTCAAGATAGCAACAAACTACTTGAGCCTATACTTACAAAGAGCCCCAAGTACAACACATTCAAATAACAGCTCCAGAAAAAACTTATTCTTTATCTAAAACAGCTAAACTCAGCAGATAATGAATATCTACTAGAGTGGCAACATATCTCACCCAGACTCTGTCACCTTCTAAAGGGAAAGAAACCAGGCTAGTTTTCATTCCTGGAAAATATGTGTCGTATGGAGTTAACAGATGGGCTTAACCACTTGAAATCTGGCTCAGGATCATAATGTCTCCTCCGGACACACAGCGTTGGCAAGACGTTTTGACTTAATTCACGGTTGAGCAACACTTTATTGCAACAACGTCGTGCTTACAACTTACAATAACGAAGGTATGTACTTATTTATTTCATGATTCTTTATTGAGCTTGAGAGAAAGAGACCTTTTTTCTTACTAATCCCTTTCCCTTCTTTATATTACATCGTTAATGTAATAAACTACAAATTAATGACACATTTCTTATGCGCGATCACGCACATATTACAAATAAACTATGCCTGCATGATTATTTACTGATCTAATTAATGTATCGTCATGCTCATGATACTATTCCAAGCTATCGGTTCCCGCATGCACACCCGATCCACTAATCCTGACCAAATCACTTCCGAATATGCCCCGAACATAGTACAAAGGATACTGGTCTTCACTACGACAGGAGCTAGACCCCCCATGACCTTCGTCCTCGAAGTCATCATCATCATAATTACCTTCCTTATCCATTCAAAATACTTTTTGTTTCAGTTTTTTGACTCTATTTCTTGCGAACAGATCCCTTAACTCACTTCCATCCACTTCATTTAAATACAAATGTCCCTTTTCGCCGATTTTTTGCACAACATACGGCCCTATCCACCTATAATCCAACTTTCGGAGAGAATTATCAAGTGTCGAGTCATATACTAGTACTAAATCCCCTACTTCGATTCGTTCCTTATTGCGATTGGCATGTTCATCATGAAATTTCTTCCATTTTTCCCAAAGTTCATCTCGATTTACTTTTGCCTTTTCCAATTCACTTACGAGACCTTTAATTTGTTGTGTTCTGAAATGCAACAATTCATCGGTTGTCCAATTTTCTTTTATCATAAAGATTTGGTAGCTTTCTAATGTCAATTCAACAGGAGTTATAGCGTTACAGCCATATACCAATCTAAATGGCGAATAGCCCAACTTTCCTACGGTAATGTTCAATGCCCACACTGCAGCACGTAAGTGTTCATGCCATCAGTTTTGGGCTTGAGCACTAACCTTTCTAATAATTCGAGTTAGTTTTTGCACTGTTCGCTCAGCCCTACCATTAGCCTCTGGATGGTAACTAGCAGTGAATTGCTGCTTTACTTGTAACCGTGCTGTAAGTTCTTCCATCAAATTATTCTTAAATTCCGTTCCTCTATCTGAGGTCAGTTCGGCGAAGCAACCATGCCTGGTTATTACTTCTTCCCATATGAATGCAGCGATTGTTTTTGCATTTTTATTCCTCAATGCGCATGCTTCCACATATCCAGTTAAGTCTTCAACTGCAACGACAATATGTTCGTGGCCGGCCAAAGTTCTAGGTAAAGGCCCTATGCAATCAACATAGAGTTTGTGAAAAATCCAACTTGTGGCCGTCACGTGGATTGGTTCTTTAAGTTGTTCGCCGATGCACATTTGGCATATTTGACAAGATGATACATAGGCTTTTACATCCTTATGTATGCTTCCGGAACCCCATACATAATTTAATAATATTTTTTTGACTGTCCCATTTATTCCTCGGTGTCCTCCTTTACTGGCTAATCCTTCATGATTTGCCTTCAATATTTCGGCTTTTTCATGGTTATTCAATATTACACATCATGGAGGTTGAGCACCTATTGCTCTTCTGAATAACTTGCCTCCGATTATACAGTGTCTCTTAACTTTATTCTGTAAACGAGGCAGATCTTCTTTCATTACCTTATGCAGCCATTGCAAAGTTTCCAGGTAATGCTTCATAATTTGCAAATCACCTTCAAATTGATTATTACATACTCCCACTTGTAAAAGCTTTGAGTCCACAAAATCTTCGTCTGAAGGTAAATTTATAGGTTCGATTGGATCTGGATATCTTGATAAACTATCAGCATGACTATGCTTTATGCCAGGTTTGTAATGTACTTTAAAATCGAATGCTTGTAGAGCGAGCACCCATCACATCAAACGTCCTTTCAATTGAGCCTTGTTGAATAGCCATTCCAGGGCCTGATGGTCGACCCATATATCAAAAGTTGTATCTGCCACGTATCTTTCACATGCGTTACAACTGAAAACCACACCTAAACATTCTTTCTCAGTGACTGTATAGTTCACTTCATGAGAATTCAATTTTCGCGATTCAAATATTATAGGACGAAGTCTTTCTTGATCGTCCTTTTGTTCCGAGACAACACCCAGTGATGCATCACAGGCATCCGTGCTCATTTGATATGGTCAACTTTTATTCTTGGCATCCTGCCAATTAGGTCCCTTTAACATTACATTCTGAATCATTTTCTCTTTAAGCATATCAAATGCATTTGCTTGATTAGTACCCCAAATAAAACTAACTTTGTTTTTTGTCAAATCAGTTAGTGGTTTAGCAATAGTGCTAAAACCTTTTATAAAGCGCCGATAATAGTTTACTGTTCCAAGGAATGATTGAACTTCTTGAACAGTTTTAGGCATTTTCCAATTATTGATCTTTGCCGTACGATTAGGGTCAGGTTTAATACCATATTTGCCGATGATAAATTCGTACATATTAAGTTCTTTGTATAGGATGCGGCATTTTTTTGCTGCAAAGAAGAGTCCAGCATTATTAAATGTTTGTGCAAGCTTAATGAATACATCAATATGTTCTTCCACAGTCCCCCGGGTCCAAAGTCCAATATCATCCTGATATGCAGCAGCTATGGATTTCCATTCTTCTGTTCCGATTATTTCATCCATTAAATGCTGGAAAGTTTCACTAGCATTTTTAAGTCCCATGCACATGACAGTATAACGTAGTGTGCCCAACAGGGTAGCAACTGCTACTTTATCTTTATCTTCATCACGAATGCGTATTTGCCAATAACCTTTATATGCATCTACACTGGAGTACCAATCATGACCTACAGCTTTTTCCAATATGTCCCGTATAATAGGTAATGGATACCCATCTTTAATAATGTATTTATTTAATGGCCTCATATCGCCAACCACCCTTAATTTGTCTGTGCCACTATCTTTTTTCTTAATGGAAAAACAGTGATATGCATATTGTCCTACGCCTTTTTCTAAAAGTCCACACTTTAGCATGTCTTTTAAGTGTTGTTCAAACATAAAAGCATGCTCTGGATTGTTAATTCTAATTGGACGCATGTACATAGGCGGGACTTCTTTACCCCCAGTTCTCACTTCATATTTAATTAAATCAGTTTTCCCTATTTCCGAAAGATTAAATGCAAACACTTCCGGAACTTCTTTAATTAGACTTTGTTGTATGCGACTTTTGTCATCTCTAGTTATATTATTCCCGAAGTCCAATTCTTCACAATTCTCTTTTGTAAGTCTCATCGCCTAGTTTGTATTTTTAATGTTCTCTTTATCAATGTTTTGTGTCATGTCTGAGTGCCAATAGATGATACGTCCATGATAACTTGAGCCTTGCAAATTTTCAGCTTCTATAGGCTGTATTTCATTTATGCTAATTCTATATAAATAGTCCTTTTCAATGTCTTTTGTTTTTTTAGTTCGGTTTGTATCTAATGTCTGTTCTATGTCTATTCTTCGTACAGTCAGCACATCCTTGACGTTATCATCTTCATAATCGTCGTTATCTCTTGTAATATTAATCCAATTTTTTGGAACAATTGACGCGATAAAAGAAGCTTTTTTATTGTCTGAACCTACAGAGCACCATAATTGATTATTTTTCCATTTGAGGTTGCACCTGGCAGTAGCAAGCCAAGGCATTCCCAATAAAACCTCAAAACTAGCTGCCTTCATTACATGGAATCCTTGTACAACCCTGACACCTTCCATTATTACTTCAACATTGGGTATAAACCCTACAAAATCACTCAAACGATCGTCTGCTATACGCCCTTTGCTTGTTACTGACTCCCATTTTAAGTTTCTTCGTTTGGTGTATACTTCATGCATTAGGTTCAATCGTGAACCAGGATCAATTGGTGCTTCAACTAAGTTACCATTAATTGATAGTATACCTACAGGAACGTCTCCTAGCTTTAGATTTTGACCGCTTTGTACACCACGCACTATCCTAATTTTAGTGTTCATAAAAAGTATGTCATCTTCCTTTTTCTTTTGGGTCAAAGCCTTTAATACTTAAGTTCTGGCCTTAGGAGACCATTTGAATAGCTGTCCCAATGTAATTGGTAACTCCAACCCAGCTATCATTTTCAATACGTCTAATTCTTGAGTTAATTCAGAAATTGGAATATACATTATCGATTCCCTTTTACTTTGTTCAGGTTGGTTAGAACTTTCTATGTATGTTCTTTTACTGGCCCATGTAGGCATCTCATTTTCATCATCACATCGCCTTCTTTTTCCGAGGTTTCTAATATCGAACAACATGTCACTACCTTCAACTTTTATCATCAGATATTCGTTGATTTCGCTTGATGAAGTTTCCTTAACTTCAAAGAGACGAACATTCAAGCCCCTAACTTCTTGATTCAAGGTCTGATTGTTTCTTTCCTTGTTGCTTTGGTTATTGTTCTGTTGTTGTAATCTGTTTGGACAATATCTTGCTATATGTCCTTCCTGGTTACATTCGTAACACCTATGGGGTCTTGGAGCTTGATTTTGGTTGTTGACATTGTGGTTTGAAGATAATGGGAGCGACCTTTGATTTCGTCGTGAATTAAATGTTCTATTATGTTCGGTAAGATCCATGACAGCTTTTGTTAATTCTTTAATGTTAGACTCCATTTTATGGGCCCAATTTTCATCATCTTTCTTTTGATCAACACGACAGATATTTAATCCGGCAAAGTCTTTTGCAAGACTATCAATATCTATGTTGCTGGACTCTGCTGTGACTTCAGGTATTGACCAATCTTTTTCTTTGCTATTATCTTTATCTTTTCTGAAATCCTCCATTTTTAATGCCTTTTTTTTGCTTTATCATAGTTCTTTGGGCAACTACCATCCACCTTACTTCGATATGGGTCATTTAGTCCTTGAATATACCAATC